CCACTGATCTAGGCTGCTGTGACCTGCTTCACCGGTGTTCTATGGAGTGTACTTGTTTATGTTATGTGCATTTTGTTGTAATTGTGTAGTGTAAGGACCACTGCCATCGGGTGCAGTAAATAAATAAATAATAATAATACGTAACTCGCATGTTCATCAACATCGACACAAAATCGAACCCGTAGTCCAGTCCAAGGACAACATAATCTCGCAGTTTTGCCGACAGCCATTTTGACTTTGATTCCCGGGAGTTTAAGTAGTTTTTGCTCATCGAAATTGCGTTAGTCTTTTCTTGTTCTCGCATGAGTGTCACTGCGCTCCACGAAATCTGCATGAAGAGTGCCCGATGACTGTGTGAAGATTTTTGTGTTAGCCGCTGATTGCTTGAAGCGATGTTCTTGCGTTTTTAGAAACGTAGTTTAATAATTTTAAAGATTTATTCAGTGATCGTTTCCCTTCCTGCACTGACCTTAACATGACAGACGAATGCCGGAAAACACGGAAGCTGTTTCACTTTGTTTCCACGCATCTCGCTTTGTCTCCGGGCTGTTGGTAGGCCTGCAGTAGTTTTCCGCTGAACGCTGTAGTGTTCTTGAACAACATCGTGCGATCGTCCTTGTGTGTGATTCTCATTGGGGATCGAACTGTCAACACTCAGTATGCGACGGTTGCACCGGAAACCGAGCGGCGACTACACGATCGAGGGCGCTACAAGGAATTTTGACGTGTCTCAGAACCTAAGTACGTAGGTGCAGGTGTTTAAATCGAGGATAACTTCTCCTGGCCTTTAGGCCACTCTTTTCATTACCACTTAGTAATAACTGTTACTATGGGCTCTGCTTGCAAGACCTGAGACCGGAAGATATGAGCATATGATAATAATTCTGCATTATTCTGTGTGGGTGTCAAGGTGAATCTGTTTTCTGAAGGGAACCCAGAGCAGACATTCAAGGATAACATTAAGATGGATCGTGGGGCGCGTATCGGATATCAAGTGGTTC